TGATCGATCGGTCCATGCATGGATACTATATGCACACGCATGACGTTATGCTAGATAGCTAGCCTCATCATCGTCTAGTGCTCTGCCAATTAAGCGAGCAAATGTGAGACTATTTAAGCTGCCGAAGTGGCCGATCGAGCAACCGGATTGGTTATCTATCTCTCTCTAGGCCCAATCGCCTCCTGAAAACATGCCATCTGGCGCATGAGCATGCGCCCATGGCCAGAAAAGCGAAATGAGTGAGCGACCAACTAGGTTTCCATTAGTAGGTGCTTAACTATATTTATTAATACACAACATTTTAAAAGAAAACTTAATTTGGAGTAGCACTAGACCGATCTAGTTTGAAACATACATATTATTGAGCGAGATTAGCTCTACTTAATTATAGAAACAAATTAAATATTGTGATAAATAAACTTCACAAGTTACTTAATTCTAAGCAATAAAATACAAAAGTTTATTTTTTAAAAAAAATCGAAACGTGAAGGAAATAATTTGTTTCTACAATCCGGTCTCTGAAAATAACTACTTAGTCTAAGGAGTACTATGCTAACCATGTACTGATCTGCTCTCGGGCAGTTTTACGAGACCTATTTAGATTGTGCTTGTCTAATACACACGCTAGAAAATTTTTACATGCAGTATAGTCTATTGGAAACATCTATTGATGGTCAACTAATATTCACAGATATATAAAACTATAACTAATTAATAGATATATTTGTCGAAATCAATGTTAAAACACAAGAACTTTGTAGATAAATGATTTTCTGGCATTTTTATAGGCGCCACTTTTGTAGATTTCGATTCCCACATTAATCGAAATTTCGGCATTTTTGAAGATGGCCCAACTATTTTGGGAAGAATAAGGTGAGGGTAGGAAAAGGATTGAGGAAGGAAGTTACTAATTTGGCCAGCCTATGGCCTGCCCTTCTCATGCAAAGTGCCAGATACCACTATCCCTGTCGTTCATGGCCACAAATATCTCATCCCTTATAAGTTTTAAATGATTTTAGTATTAATGATATATTTAGTTGCCCATTCTTTTCATGTTGCTCATTTTGAATGATAAAAAACGTCATATTTATTAGTTCGTCTACTTTCCCTTAAATAATCTGTGGCTTTTTGAGGGGCAATTCTATATAGTTACACCAGCAGCAAGTCATTATATGACTAATGGTTTTTCACATCATACGCGTAAATATAAGCACTATGATTTAAACTTTAGTGTACAGAGAATATCTGGTGGCAGCATCATCATCCATTGCATCCACTCCCCCTCTTAGGCGAGCTCGTCCACAACGGCGGTAGTCCTTGGGACGGCCACATATCCCTCAATGGCAGGCAAGTGGAAGGGCAAATCTAGCGACGTGTGGGCAAGAAGGCGGATTCGACAACGCGGGTGATGGAATGATGACGACCAGAAGTGTGTTGCTTCTGGCTGCGACGACAATGTTGATATTGTTCTACTGTTGTTGAAAATTCTTACATGCCATGTTCTACCGTCATGCTCTGAATGTGTATTTAAATAGGTGTCTACATGGTGTGAAAATTGGTTTCTTTTTAACAAATTTTTTTTACAAGGTCTGAAGGGTGCCGTTTGCGAAAATCGATTTTCATACGTGGATCTATTAGGGCATCGCCATTTTCGCAGGCGGGCGTTGAACCGCCTGCAAAATTGATTAATTTTACATGCATTTGGTCATAGGTGGGACGACTGACCTGACCATAAAATTTTGTTTTGACTGTAAAGCAGTGTGTTGTTAATTTGTCACTCATATCGTTTTGTAATATATATTTTTTAGTTTTGCATGCAGACACTAGTAATTAGCCGCCGTTTAGTAACAAAAAAAAAACCACAACATATTTCGCCGGAGAAACACGTCAACGGCTGAGATTACCCCACGTAAGGCGTAACGTAGGTCGCCCCACGTGGACGGTGCGGATCTCGCGCCGGCACACCCAGGCCTAACCGCGCGTAGGCTGCTGCATGCTTTTGCTTTTTGACGCGCGCGTACGCGCCTACGCGGGGGAGACAAAAGCTTACTACTAGCTAGTAGCTATAGGGCTAAGCTGCGCGTCGTAACACACTTTCACCGCGGGTCCAAATTAAGCTAATCCACTTTGCCGGTACGGATTTTTACAGCACACGGATGGGTAAAAAAAAAGAGGACAGGATTGGACTAGGGGTTTTTTTTTTTTTGTTTACGTGCTGCGTGCGATTGCAACAGTTTTAATTTGTCCTCCTAATTAACTAATTAAGCATGCAGCTAAGCTTGAGACTATAGCTGGCCTAAAACGCTTTCTTATTAGTTAACCCATTTATCTCCAATGGGAACTTCAAAGCAAAGATATGGGGTATCCACATGCATGCAGAAGTGCCCAACCCTCTTTTTAACTTTTGGTCGCGTTAGTGTGTTAGTTTGATGTTAAAGAAAACGATCGAATTGAAAAGCACTTTCGATAATTAAGCGAAGTTTCGGTCGGGTCACAGACGATACCTGTTGTGTTTTGGATGTCGATCGATCGATAAGGTACTCTCTCCGCGTCGTTGCAACTTTTATCGCGCTAATTTCTATATGGGACTAGCTGGGAGTTGTCGACAGTTTTTTAGTCCAAAACTTTCAAATTTTTTGACTACAGAATTTGTCATCAATGGTTATAGGGGAACAATCCACACTAGTACAAACCATGAATTTTAGTGTCTAAGCTGATTGAACAACAAGAAATTGGTCTACATGTAGAAGGGAAAAAAACTTTCAAATTCAAAAGTAATATGCGCTCCTAAAAAAATTGCAAATCATAATTTTATACAATGTAACTACCCTATAACTATCGTGTAACTACTCTGTAACTAGTGTGTAAGTGCTATGTAACTAGGGTGTAAGTGTTATGTAACTACTCTATAATTAAGATGTAAGTGATATATAACTAGGGTGTAAGTGATATATAATAAAAAAGAGTTATTGCTAATAAGAAGGTGCATGGCTTAGCTTAACGTGTGCATCATGTTCGATGACTGCCTTGCCCATGCGATTTTTTTTATTCTAGGTGTATATGTTGCACGAATCCTAGAGCACATCTAATGGCTAGAAAATCGAAAGTTTTCCAAACAAAAAACTGTCAACAGTTTTTTAGCAAAACCGGAAAAAAAAAAAGGGGGCAATAAACTGTGCATACTAATTTGTGATTGTAGTTTTTGAGCATATCTATCCGTATGATTTTCATACGTCCAATTAAAACATTTTAGTAATTCTGTACTCCAAATTTTAAAAGTGACAGAAGACACAATTATTTATGATAGAGTACTGAATACTCCCTCCGTTTTATATTATAAGTTGCTTTGATTTTTTTAAAAAACAAACTTCTTATAGGAATATAGCAACTCCTATAAGACCAGATTAGTTGTATTAAATATAATATTAAATATATTTTGATAATATGTTATTTTGTATTGAAAATATTGTTGTACTTTCTGTAAATTTAGTTATTTTAAAAAGATTAACTTTGAGAAAAAGTCAAAGTGTATTGTAGTAATATAAATTGTATAGGTGCATATAGAAAAGAAAGAAAATATGCATATTTTTTCAGAAATTTATTTCATAGTATTACAATTAATCACACCGGTATATATGATATAAAACAAATCATCAGATTAATAGCCAAAATTGTGTTTTGGGGAAAAAAATCAAACCTGGATTTTGTGACTGGTGATTAATTCCAAACACCAAACTATTTGGTGGCTGTTTAATTACCGTGGTGGATCCATAAAATTGATTCATTGGTATCATAGCATACTAATTATACTTAAACTATAGTGTTATAATATATGGATAAGCAGTTTAACCATAGGTTTTGCTGAAAGTCGTCGGTGTCGTCTGACACCGACGCTAACACAACCGCCCCTGGCTGTTTACATATATATATTATCACTCTTTCAATCTCACATATTATTGTTTTTTTTAAAAAAAACATCTCACATATTATTAAGAGGAAGGCTAAATGCAGACCTACTCAAAGTTGAATCTCCATCAATGTAAAAAGGAAAAGTCAACCATAGAAACAAAGGTCAAAGCACCTGATCACTCGTTCATCTCGTTTTAGCAACAACATCTGCTCTCAAGCTAAGAAATTGCCATGATAATTAAATAGGGAGAAGAAAATATATACCTTTAATTAATCAACTGGTGTAGCTAGCTAGATTAATTGGTTTGTTATAGATGTTCAATATATTCACTTAGAAACAACAATTGAATGTATAGAAAAACAAACAAGAGTTATCCATCAAATATAAGACTACTTTCAAACAAATTTTGAGCTAGCTCCCCAATTTGCGTGCCAAGTTTGGATAGTTAAGAGTTTTTTAATGCTGAAATTACCGCCTACATGAAATTTTAGCTAGCTAGGGGTTTGAAACTAACATTTGTTTGCAATCCAAATTCAATATCTGAGGAACAAATTAAACGTCGAGACTCTGCCATGTACATAGTTTGGTTCAAACCCTCATAATTTTTTTCTGAGTGATCAAGAATGTATGTATTGAATCGATCTATGCATGCCAAGCTGTCACCAAGCTATACATACATATAGCTACATATGCATATATATTATCATCATGCTTCCATTATTGGGACTTCCATCGACACATGTAGAGGGTGAATTTCCATGTGTCAGTCGAAGTGCCCTAGCCTAATGTAACATGTCATGAACGGATGACCGACACATAGGCCAGTCAAAGGCATGAACAGTAGAGAGGGTCCAGGGGAGATTAGGCCGGGGATCAATGCAAGCAAAAGTGAGTGCGCCCGGCCACACGTATGCATTCACTGGCAAAGCTCGATCAAACAAGCAAATGGAACTCGATCATCTCTCCGGCCTCTTTAATTTAGCTAGCTAATCTTGAGTTGATCCGGCGATCGAGCGAGCTACTAATAATATAAATGTTGGGCTCTCCTTTCTTGGCCCTATAAATACCAGGGACGATGCCCAGGAAGAGCAACCTGTGTCAGTTCAGGTGGTAGTAGCAAACACACACACAGCTAGCTAGAGGGTTGATCTCCTAAATTGCTCTTGGATTAATACTGGTGTGTAGAGCAGGAGAGGAGATCATCCTCTGATCAAACTCTAATTAAGCTAGCATCTCATATCCTCCAAGATGGTTCAGGCATTGGTCTTTGCTGTGGGGATCGTAGGTAACACACATGCACACACTAGCTAATTCGAGATTACACACTTCTATAACAACTAACCACATCTAGCATGCAGTAGTATTAGTGGTTTCCACAACAAGTATAGTATGCATCCATGCATGCATGCATTATACTTCAATTTGCCACTCGAACTAACTAATTTTCCTTATTGCTGGTAAATGATTTTTGCAGGCAACATATTGTCGTTCTTGGTCATCCTTGCACCAGTGTAAGTACCTACTAGCTTCATGAGCATTGAGCTAATTAAGTCCATGATCTGTTAATAATTTGCATGCATCTTGAAAAAAAAAGAGAGAGAACATGTTAAGCTAATTAATGGATATATATGATGTGAATGCAATGCAAATTAATGCAGGCCGACGTTTTATCGGGTGTACAAGAAGAAGTCGACGGAGTCGTTCCAGTCGGTGCCGTACGCGGTGGCGCTGCTGAGCGCAATGCTGTGGCTCTACTACGCCCTCCTCACCTCCGACCTCCTCCTCCTCTCCATCAACTCCATCGGCTGCCTCGTCGAGTCCCTCTACCTCACCGTCTACCTCCTCTACGCCCCCAGGCAGGCCATGGCCTTCACCCTCAAGCTCGTCTGCGCCATGAACCTCGCCCTCTTCGCCGCCGTCGTCGCCGCCCTCCAGCTCCTCGTCAAGGCCACCGACCGCCGCGTCACGCTCGCCGGCGGCATCGGCGCCTCCTTCGCCCTCGCCGTCTTCGTCGCCCCGCTCACCATCATCGTAAGCGCATTAATTCATTCCTCACATAGTCACATACATAATACCTCCGTTTGTTAATAGAGGCTACCATTAACTTTTAAACATAAAATATATAAGATATAAATCATGCTTTAAATATTTTTAAGTTATAAAACAACTCATAATAAAATAGATGATAATTATATAATTTTTAATTACACAAATGATCAAATATGTATACGATATTATCTATTAAAAAATACCATAGCTTCATCTAACTATATATCTGTTTCATTAATTTGATTATAAGATAATTAATTAATTAGCATATTAACAAGAACTAACATCAAGTTTGATTAAATTTGGTTTTGCAGAGGCAAGTGATCAGGACCAAGAGCGTGGAGTTCATGCCCTTCTGGCTCTCCTTCTTCCTCACCCTCAGCGCCGTCGTCTGGTTCTTCTACGGCCTCCTCATGAAAGACTTCTTCGTTGCCGTACGTCCTATTATTTTCTCTTTTTTACTTGTTTTTGTCCCGTTCTTTCTCAACATCTCTAGCTAGTAGCAAGCAAGGAGTCCATCCAGCCATGCAAGCTACTCCCTCCGTTTCACAATGTAAATCATTTTAAGATTTTCCGTATTTATATTGATGTTAATGAATCTAGATAGATATATATGTCTAAATTTATTAACATCAATATAAATGTGGAGAATGTTAGAATGACTTACATTATAAAACGGAGGAAGTAGCTAGCTAGCCAGCTTAAGGGCACCCACAATGGCTATCTATAGGCTCTCTACAAGAGATCCATGTCAGCATATTTTACTACTTGGAAGAGATTAAATGAAGAGAGAGAGCAAAGCTATCTACTAACCTGGAGATAGTCTATAGAGAAAAACGAGGCAATGGATTAGACAGCTATAGATACCCATGTAGACATACCATTGAAGTAGTTTACTATTAATCTAGTCTATTGCTGAGATGTACATGTTTTATAGATAGCACCTTACTTTACCATTGCGGGTGCTCTAAGCAACTGTTAATTGTTGTGCTTTTATTAGGTAGTAATAATTAATTAATCATGCATGGATAGTGATGTGAGCTAGTGCGTGTCGCTTGTGTCACCGCCCATGAGCCAGATGTTTTCTGCCGAGAGGCGAGAGCACAGCACAAAAGATCACCGCCACTATTCATCACTTGTATAACCTATCTTTCGCCAAAGCAGAGCTTACGTACTCTCGCAAGCCTAAAAAGCCCTGATTAAACTACGTAAACGTACTCATCACACACGATTATATTTAACCAGGAGATTTTTGTTGTAGCCAGCTGCATGCATCCCCGCATATATTCCAGTAGTAATTAATTAGAACAATAAATTAAGCTATATATATTGATTAAATTACGGATTTGCTAGAAAATTTTCACAAGTTTTTTTCCCTAGCTCAAAACTTTTCTCGAGGCTTGTGCATGAAGAAAAAAATTAATAAAAATAAAATTTCACACATGTTACGTGTAAAATTTCAATACTAGTTGAATGCAAGTTTTATAGTGTTGTAAGTTATATCGTAGTTACCATGTACTCCCTCCGTTTCATAATGTAAGTCATTCTAACATTTTCCACATTCATATTAATGCTAATGAATATGGTAAATACTAGAATGACTTACATTGTGAAACGGACGGAGGAAGTAATTACATTTTAATTATATTATAACAACTTTTTAGCGGTAGTGTTTTAGATACTCCCTTAAATTATTAATATCGCATTTATATGCAGACGCCGAACGTGCTGGGATTGCTGTTTGGGCTGGCCCAGATGGTGCTGTACGTGGTGTACAAGAACCCCAAGAAGAACTCCGCCGTGTCGGAGGCGGCCGCCGCCCAGCAGGTTGAGGTCAAGGACCAGCAGCAGCTGCAGATGCAGCTCCAGGCGTCGCCGGCGGTGGCGCCGCTCGACGTCGACGCCGACGCCGACGCCGACTTGGAGGCGGCGGCGCCGGCCACCCCGCAGCGGCCAGCTGACGATGACGCCATCGACCACAGGAGCGTCGTCGTCGACATCCCGCCGCCGCCGCAGCCGCCGCCGGCGCTGCCGGCCGTGGAGGTGGCCTGATCGATCAGTGAGAGGGTGACGTATTGAGCTGCTTGTACTGCACGCGTGATGACCACGACTGACCAGAGTGACCTAATTACTGTGTGTTAGCTGCAGCTCATTCTAGCTGAATCGCATGCATCTTAGCTAATTAATTATTATATATATCTGCATGCTTAATTAATTAAGTCGCGATATATATGTGACTGTATGTATCTGTTGCCGCGTTCTTTATTCTGAGTTGTAGGATGATTAGAATTTTGCTAGTGGGCTAAGTACATGTATGCACATGATCATCTATCAGCTGCTGGTCGATGCGTGTATCGCCGTACGTGTATGATTGGGGACACGTGTACTGCATCTGCATGCTAGTACGTGGCATCTCAGTTTATGGTACTAGCTAGACACTGTACTGCTCTCCAATCAATAAAAGCCCATGTATCAATTGTTTCGTCTCTTCGATTTTACGGAGTAATTTATTTTGGGAAATTTACGGAGTAATTACTAATGTGCTCTGTGTAACTACCACTTTCTTAATACGGAAGAGGCTTCTCTGACGTAAAGAGACATGATCACTGACACGTGTGTCCATAAAGATAGGACCTACCTGTTAGGGATATTCACGTCCCTCTGACTTTATGTCAGAGGAGCTCTGTCCTTTAGTACTGCTCGTTAAGCTTAGTATGCATGTAAACTTGTGTTTTCCAGATTAGATTGACTATTGATTCGATCGAGTTCGATTATTTACCGTACAGTAGAATTTGTTGCTTTGATATCTTCTTGAACTGGTCAGTTTTGGCGTCGCCGGTCGGGCGGAGGCAAAATGGCATTGGCATGCAGATGAATCGGGGAAGCATCGTTCGACCGGTGATATACGGCATGATCGTTAGCAAGATGAAAGGCAAAACATATGAAGTTTAATAGATTGAAAAAAATTGGCAGTCATGCATCCCTGATGACGATATCTGTCGCACATCAATAGTAGTAATTCAGAAAACAAAAAGAAATAAAAGAGGAGACTAAAAAAAAATCAAGAGTAGTAATTGAGAAGTCAACATAACAAAATCGAGAGTAGCAATTGAGAATAAAATCCAAGAGTAGTACTAACTGATAAGAAAAAATAAAATAAAAATTAATTGGAGAGTGTAGTAATTGAGAAGACAAAATAAGAAAAAAATCGACAGTGGTAAGACCAAATAAACATTAATTGGAGAGTAGTAATTGAGAAGAAAAATTCAAGAGTAGTACTACTAATTAAGAAGACAAAATACAAAATAAAATAGAATTAAAAATTGAGAGTGGTACTCCCTCCGTACTATAATATAAGGAATTTTGACATTTTGCTTGCATTGTTTGACCACTCATCTTATTTAAAAAATTTGTGTAAATATAAAAAATGAAAAGTTATGCTTAAAATACTTTGGATAATAAATTAAGTCAAAAATAATAATAATTCCAAATTTTTTTGAATAAAACGAATGGTCAAACAGTGAAAGTAAAATCTCTTATATTAGGAGTTTGAGGGAGTAATTGAGAAGAAAATTCAAGAGTAGTACTAATTGAGAAGAGAAAATACAAAATAAAATAAAAATTAATTGGAGAGCAGTAATTGAGAAGACAAAATTAAAAAAAATCGAGAGTAATAAGAGAAAATAAAAATTAATTGGAGAGTAATTCGAGAGTAGTAAGAGAAAATAAAAATTAATTGGAGCTTATATTAGGAGTTTGAGGGAGTAATTGAGAAGAAAATTCAAGAGTAGTACTAACTGAGAAGAGAAAATACAAAATAAAATAAAAATTAATTGGAGAGCAGTAATTGAGATGACAAAATACAAAATAAAATAAAAATTAATTGGAGAGTAGTAATTGAGAAGACATTAAAAAAATCGAGAGTAATAAGAGAAAATAAAAATTAATTGGAGAGTAATTCGAGAGTAGTAAGAGAAAATAAAAATTAATTGGAGAGTAGTAATTGAGATGAAAAAAAATCGTGTATCAGAGCCAGGTTTCGATCCTGGGACCTGTGGGTTATGGGCCCACCACGCTTCCGCTGCGCCACTCTGATGTTGTTGTGGGTGCTCCCGTTGCACCCAAGACAATCAATTCACTTCACGCGCTCTCGCCTATCGGGCTATACTGCTGTAGGGTGTGGCTGTGGCGGAGGCCCACGAAGAAAGGCCCACAGGAGATCGAACGAGGCCGCGTACCGCGGACGTGACGCCCACAACGCAAACACCGTTGGCGTGACCCCCGGCCTGCCCGCTCCCGTGTCGGAACCGAAACGCATCGCATAACGGGTCACATCTTTTTTCGTTTATGCTTATCAGGCCGGGTTTAGATCAAAAAATTTTGAATAAAAATATCACATCAAATATTTGGACACATACATATGATACTAAATATATAAAAAAAACAATTACACAGTTTGCATGTAAATTACGAGACGAATCTCTTGAACCTAACTACGCCATGATTTGACAATGTGATGTTATAAGTAAACATTTGCTAATGAAAGATTAATTAGGCTTAATAAATTCGTCTCGTAATTTACATGTGGAATATGTAATTTCTTTTGTTATTAGTGCACGTTTAATACTTCAAATGTGTGTCCGTGTATTTCAAAAACTTTACACCAAAAAAATTAAACACACCCTTAGATAAAATTTGAATTTTCAACATTAAATTTAAAGCTGATTTGAAGTTTTCTTTATCAAATTTTATTTTTAAGTCTTTTAATCGCTAATAATATATATATATATATATATATACATATATATATATATATATTAATCATAAATTACTTTTTTTTCCGTAAATAAACGATGGGTCCGCATATCTCAAACCAAACCGACCCGCAGGTGTCAGGTGATGGGCCCCAAGTCGGCGGCCACACAAGGAAACGAAACGACCCGGTCACGCGCCGCCACCCAACCCAACCCAACCAACCAACCATCCAACCAACCAAACGCAACACGCACATACACAGCTAGTAGTAGTAGCCTAGTACTAGGAGTAGCTCTAGCTAAGCTGAGCCTGAGAGAGAGACAGGAGGGAGAGGGATAGAAACAGAAATAGAGATAATCGGAGGGGCCCCGCGGTAAAAAATATCTGCGGCGAGGTCGAAGCCGGAGGAGGGGGGCGGGGCGGCCACAGCCAGCGTCGACGGGGAGCCGCCGAATCGCGTGATCCCCTTCAAACCCTAGCGAGGGAGCGGGCGATTTGGAGCTGGGTGGCGGCGGCGGCGGCGGCGGATGCTGTCGGTGCGGGGGCGGCAGGAGGAGGGGTTCCGTGTGATGGGCCACGGCGACGTCGAGCTGGAGGAGGGGGAGGCCTTCCCCGACGACGACGGCGGCGGCGGCGCGCTCTGCCTCGATCCCGAAGTCGCCTTCTCCTACATCGTGAGCGCCCCCACCCATCCTTGTTGCCTCCCTCTCTCTCGCGTGGCCTCGCGGAAATGAATGAATGAACGAATGAATGTGTTGATTTCGGCGCCGTTCAGCGCGGGGGACTGCTGGATCGGTATGGTTTTGGGAGGAGATGCGCGGCAGCTTTTGCACGATTTCGCAGTTCGTTGATTGGTAGGCAGGATGTTGGTTTAGTTAAATTAAGTGGTTACCATCAACATCTCAGTTTCGTCTTTGTCTCGGTAGGGTGAGGAAGCGCCTTCGTTCCATTCGAATTATTTGGAGGATGAATGGTGAACTCTGCTCGTTTAGGTGATTCGTGTAAGCGCAATGATCAATTTAGTCCAAGCTTCTTTCATTGCGCTGTCCTCACAAGTGAAGCGATGCTAGCTTGCCTCGTTGTTTCGGTTATCTGTGATGTGTTGAGTTTACTACTAATCCACTTTTGGTGTGCGGTAAAAGCCAACTGACTAAACGACCCATTAATAAACATTAAATTGTAATAATTCCCTTTTAATTAAATGCGCAAGTCTTTACCGACTTATAAGAATTGTTATCCATTTTTGGGGCATTCATTTCTTGTTGATTGACCCCATCTGGTATCCAAAGTTCTGACTTATGGTCAAAAGGGTGTTTGGTTTGCTTGGACACCCTAACTAAAAGATGTTGAAATTCTGTTAAAGGCAGGCACACACACACACACACACACATGGTCTTTTTAGTGTTTTTAGGTGATTGCTGCAGTTATTGCCTCCGAGACCAGTTACTCCCTCCATTCACAAATAGATGCCGTTATGGAATGCGTGCAATGAAATCTTGAAAACATAAACCCTAATTTGCAAACATACTAAGATTTGAAATGTAAAAATGTTATTACTAGATTTGTAACGAATGGTGCTTTCATATTGTTATATTTCAAATTTCTTTTAATAAATGTATGGTTGGAGAAGGCAATGATAAAACATATGAATTGGAGACTGTGTTGATGTCGTAAATTACAAGTAAAAACGAACTGAGAGCATTTATTTTGAGGAAACCCAGAAACCTTTATGTTTGCTTGTGTGTGATATGTCCGTTTCTGTGATCAAAGCATTTATCTCTGGTCCTCATTAATTGCTTTCCATGTTTTTTTTTTCTCAGGATGAAAAGATTCAACATGTTCTTGGACATTTTCAGAAAGACTTTGAAGGAGGAGTATCCGCAGATAACCTAGGTAAAGAGCTAGTAGTTGCTGTACTTGTCGCTTTTGTTCATTGCATTTCAGTCATATTAAGTGGGAAAAACTTTTTGACAGGATCAAAATACGGTGGATATGGTTCGTTTTTGCCCACATACCAGCGCTCACCTCCACCTTTGCCTCAAAGCAGAAGCCCACCCAAGGTTGCAAACGTTGGCACTTCAAGATCACCTTATCAACAATCTGCTGAGGTGCTTTATTAGTTTTCCTTGTGCTGTTAACCAATGTATATTCTGGCGTATGTTCATGTGTCATGATTACAAATGCAGAGCATGGGTCAATACCCTTCAACTGTGGCAAATGAATCTATCTCCCGAAATAATGGTTCCACTGCACCGTCATCTGGTGATTTATGTAAAAGAGAAATATGCTCAAGCACAAACGGTGAGAAGGACTCTGTTGCTTGTTCTGATTCCTTGGACAGCTCATTTAATGGTAGTGACCAGAAGACACTCAAAGTTCGGATCAAAGTTGGTTCCACTAATACTTTGGCAAGAAAGAATGCATCTATCTACAGTGGCCTGGGCCTTGATATTTCTTCTTCTTCATCCATGGAAGGAAGTCCTGATGGTCATGAGGGTCAATCTCCAGTGTGTAGTAATGTGCCATATGAATCTCCTCGGACCATCCTGCAGGTATAAATGCTTTATAACCACTGAATTATCACTTCTATGTCATTAAGCATAGTCAAACAATGGTTATAATAGCTTATATTTTTATCTGCATGATCAATCAGATCATGACGTACTTTTCAGTTCCTGGAGGATTCTTGCTGTCACCTCTGCATGGAAACATTCTGAAATTGACGAATAAGGTCACCCCATTGGTTAACAAATGGGAAACTAATCTGGACTTAAAAAATGTACCTAGAGCAGTTGATGGCCATTCAGAACTTTCTCTTTCGTCTGGGCATGTCAAAGCCCATGTGGCTAAGAAAATGAAGCCTGATGGCAAGAAAAAGAAGTCCATAGATACAAAGACTAGAAAAGATGCAAATAATACTAGTGCAATATTGGGCAAGGAGGCTAATGTAGAAATACCTGGCAGCCGAGTGATTTTATCAGACACACATGATATAACCTGTTCTTCTGGCGCCCCAACCACAGAGTTAAAAGGTGTAAGTCAATTCACAGAAGAATCAACTAAAGATGCTCGACCGAAACAACAGATGGGCTGCAATGACCTGGGAACAGTTAAAAGCGAAGCAGTCAAAACAGAAGTAACAAAGCATATAGAAGAAAACAGTAGTTTTGACAGTTCAGGAAATGGTTGTTTAGCACCACGGGGGAAAGTAAAACTTAAGGCGAGTAAAGTGGACAGGACTTCAGAAGACATGAATATAAGTAGTCACAAATTTTCTCCGTATGATAGGAAGAAAGAAAGCAAAGTAAAACCTATGAGAACATTTGAGCCTGCCATGGATGATTTTGAAGGCAATGTGGACAAGGACTGGGGTGCTGGGTCATCAGATGATTTGAAGACAATTCATGGTAAAGAAACCTTTGCCAGTGAGAGAACTGTGGAAGATAACTCTAGAACGGAGGTCAAACGAATGCAGAAGGAACACAAAGCTAATTTTGTAGCACCATCTAGTTTCTTAGAGGATGGTAATTTTACCCATTCTTCTGTACTAGTTAATGATGGGGCAACTGATTCTCATTTGAAGTCTAATCATTTTGAAAATAAATCGAAAGAAAAATCTCATAAAGACCTTAGTGAAAATCTGCCTAAGAGATCTATAGGAAACAAGGAAGGGGCTTCATTGGAGAGTGTAAGTGTTCAGGGTCAACGGAAAGAGAAGATGATGAACAGTGATAATGAGAAGGAACTTCATATAACTGGGCCAGCAAAAAAGGAGATCCCTTCCAGTGTAAAGCATGGCACATTTCCAGGTTCAGAGGAACAGCAGTTGCATATGCCGTCAAATGGCGGGATTATACCTGGACCTGCAAATGCAGCTTCTCTTCCTGCACCTGTTTTGATAGAGGATAATTGGGTATGCTGTGACATGTGTCATAAATGGCGTCTCCTCCCCTACGGGACAAACACTTCCATGCTTCCAAAAAAGTGGATATGCAGCATGCTTGACTGGCTGTAAGTTCTAGTTCAGTTTGATTAGAATTGCATTTATCCAGTGTTATGCCTCACCATACATGCTTGCTTCAATTGGCACCTTACATATGTTAAGTTGTCCTTAGTACATGGTTAAACGTTGTTAAATATAGTTATTTGATCTGGAATTTCTTTGTACACCTTAAACGATTTCTGATTAGACAGGTAATTTGACTAGATTCTGATATCTCCCCCCGAACACCCATCCACCCCGCCTTAAACAAAAAAAAAAGTATTTTTAAGTGGTCCATAAGCTGTGCAAATTCAACATTGAGGTAGCACTCTAATTCAAGGGTCATGCAGTTTTCTTTCTCTGAGTGGTCTGACAATTGGGGAAGAAAAAATTCCATTACTGAAAAATACAATCCAAATTTGTCTTTGCAGACCTGGGATGAACAAATGCGACATTAGTGAGGATGAAACAACAAATGCTCTAAATGCACTTTATGTCACTCAAATCCCTGCCGCTGGTGTTTCTTCAGGTGGCCCTCACACTGCGCATGCAAGTGTAGCAGCATCTAGCACCTACAATATAAGTGGACAACTGGGACAGAGTAGGAAAAGGAAAAATGCTCTGAAAGACGAAAACTGTTACGAGCATGATCAACAAGCCCCTGCAAAAATGACTCTCACGAGCAATCAACAAGCCCCTGCAAAAAATAGAGAAGTTGTTGATAGTGAACATTATACTAATGACAGAGATCCTGTAAGCACACATGATCTGGTGCCACAGAGCAAATCAGCTTCTGAAAGGCATAAGTCTAAGCACAAGAGTCGCAGTAGCCACTCAGATGGAGGTTCTGCTCTCTTTCATGTTTATTGCTTATATTTAGCTGATATGTATTATCTTCTGATATTTTTCAGTAAATACTGTGTTTAGTTATTTAAATTGTTTACTGACATATAATTCCTATTTAAATACAGGAGATCTTACAGAAAAATCGAAGAAGCATTCAAAATCAAAAAACAGGAGAGGAATTGATCGAGATGAGCACAAAACATCTAAGAAGACAAAAAAAGAGGATCGACATTACTTTAACAAAGATTGGAAAAATGAATACGATTTAGCTGGCAACAAAGTTCGTGATGAAACCAAAGCTTTATCTGCAAAAGCAAAAATGTCAAAGGACTCATGTGAACAAGATGAGTTTTCTTTACGCAAGGAAAAAGCTTCAAGGTTTGATATTTTGGAAAAAACAAAGAGAATTAATGATGATGATGTGGCCTTTCATGAGAAGATGAAAGAACATCGTGCAGGCATAGAAACATTAGATTTGTCTGGCAAAAAGAAGACAGTGAAGGAATGGGAGGATAACCGGCTCAGTTCAATGGACCACACAAGCAAAGGGGGCGATAATGAGAATTTGAACGAGAGATTATCAAAGATAAAGAAGTCCGAAGCTAGGCCTGAAGAAGTTCAGGATGCAAATGCATTATTTTCTTCTGCTGGAAGGCGTCAAGATAATGAGCTAGTTGCTGACAACAAATTTGTTACTTGTAAAGAAGGTCCATCAGAACTATGGGATAATCAACCTCCCAGACAGGTCTTGAACTTGGCGGAACCCACTAGGAGGGATGTTGCCTGTCTTCAGTCTTCTACGGTTGCAACTTCAAGCTCTTCAAAGGTCTCAAGCTCTCGGAGAAACAAAAATTCTCGAGAAGCAAAGGGCTCTCCCGTTGAATCAGTATCTTCATCACCACTGAAAAATTCAAACACTGATAAGATTTCTAAGGCCAGGAAAACTGGAAAAGATGGAGAATTGAATGCTGATTCAAGCATCTTGCATACCCCAATGAAATATCCAACCCACGAAGTTGGTTTACTACATACTGGGCAGCAAGCTGTGGGTGAAGCCATTCTGCGTGGTTCTACAAATAACTCCGGTATGGGGAGAGTAGATAATCAATTGTACCCTGGTGATAAAAAGATCTTGGATATGCATGGCCCTACACTACAACCTGATCAGCAGGATTGTTTTAACCCGAGGGCTACAGCTGATTCCACTGGACATAAAAGTAAAAATAGTGCTCCTTCACGCCAAGGTAGAAATGGATCCAGTAACTTGATTTCAGAGGGAAATAAGCAGATAGAGATGTCATCCAGAAAAGAGAAATTACGTCCTAGTATTGATAATCAAGATATGCAAAAGTCTATTGGTCAAGATAATCATTCTCATATGAAAGAAGGCAAATCAGAGGTTCACACCACTAGAGTAAAACCAGGTGCTTCAAAAAACCACACACAATTAAGGTCCAATGTTGAAAATGGAGATTCTGCGAGTCCAATTAGGAGGGATGGTAATATGATTGCATTTGCACTCAAGGAAGCTCGGGATCTAAAACACAAGGCTAATCATTTGAAGGTTGGTGACACCAATTGTGTTAAATGTTGTCTCAGGCAGCATAATTGTGCTGTCAATTTTGCTTGGAAGTATCTAATGACAATTTTCCCTGCAGGAAAAAGGACTTGAACTTGAAAGTATGGGCCTGTACTTTGAAGCGGCTTTGAAGTTTCTGCATGTTGCATCTCTTTGGGAAACTCCTAATCTGGACAATTCGAGATCAGGCGATGTTGCTCAGTCAATGAAGATGTATTCTGAAACTGCAAAACTCTGCAGGTGAGCTACCTGTGATGTCCATTGAATAAGTCTATAAAGTTTATATACTTCGTTTCAGCAAAAGTTTATATAAAGTTGTCATAGGTACAAAAGAAAGACACACCACGATTCACCAAGGGATGAAAACAGTCTAGGTATTTAAAAATACGAAAAAGTCCACTTTACTACCTCAAACTATTTCATAAGTCCACTTCACCCCCTAAACATATTGTAGGCTCACTTTTTTTTCCCAAACACGCAGGAGATCTGTGTATCATTTCATTAAGCAAGGAATAAAAGGTCGGACTTACAAAACAAAAACACGCCATCACACCCGCTGAAAACACAAAAAAGACCCACCCACATTCGCCCCCTCCTAGGGCACAAGTATTGCCTTGGCCAACAGCTCTTGGAGGTTAGAAGCTCCCGCCATACACCATAGTGTGCCCTCATTGTAGGCTCACTTAACCCCCTAATCTATTAATACCAGCCCACTTAGCACCCTAACCCAGTTTTGTTAGGTGGTATTGCCAGCGTGGAGTGGTTTTGATCAGTCAAGTCACGTCTTGTGCGCCAGACGCAGCCTGGCTATGTCCTTGCTGTGGTTGAAGCTTGAAGGGCAGCAACTGCGTCTTCTTCAATGAGCTGTTGCCTGTTGGTTTCTCACTTGGACTTCGTCGTGGTTGTGGTCACCTGTAATTTAGAGGGACAGTTGGCAGCATGCCGAAAAGTGTAGGATGGATGATGTCACAGTAACAGGCCCACAGCATCGGCTGCATCGCACAGCGCTGGTGCAGCTATGGCAACCAAAATTCTGTTACGCAGCAACATCCATCTGATCTGACTATTCTTTAAAACTGGATTTAACATCCATCTTCTGTATCTGATGTTGCTGCAATGGATTATTAGTTACTAAGGATGCGGTAGTGGCTGCGATCGCTAGGATGGAGAATTGGAGACGGTTGACGGTGGGCAGGAACCTTGACCACAGCCTCGCCACGTGAGCAAATGCAACTATCTGGAAGCAGAAATCAGAAAGCCACGCGAAGCATGAATGTCATGATCTATCCTACCTTTGCTCCGCCTGGCGCCTGCCATGACCCTTATACTCCACCTCAGCACATATGTGTGGCGTGGCTAGGTTTACCGGTAAAAACTACTCGACACTGGCAATACCACCTAGTACCAGGTTAGGGTGCAAACATATGTCTGCACAAATAAACTAAGGGATTAAGTGAGCCTAAATAATGTTTAGAGGGTAGGTTGGACTGTGAAAATAGTTTGAGGTAGTAAAGTGGACTTTTTTTCAAACAAATTGAAGATAAATCTGGCTGTTTTAATTAAACTACACTGAATGATGACGAATTGGATGGTTGCATCTAATCACGTAGTGAATACTCATCCATATTAAATTGATCAGAGTTTTCTTCACGTATGGTTAGCTATGTCTAACTTTGAAACTATATGAACTAAGCTTTTTAAATGCAGTATACTAAAATGCTTTTTTTTTTATTTGACTGTCCAGCTTTTGTGCTCATGCCTATGAACGATGCAATAAAATGGCTTCTGCCGCTTTAGCATATAAATGTGTAGAAGTGGCTTACCTCAAAGCAGCGTATTACAAACACCCTAGTGCAAGCAAGGATCGACAAGAACTACAGTCGGTTGTACAGATAGCTCCAGGTAATTGATGTCTAAAAAAATGTTTGTTCTAGCTTGTAAACTTTAATTTGAAATATTTGAATCCTTTTTATTCCTGCTGAGCTTTTCTGGGAGTTGGAGGCTGCTTCTACTATCCTTTGTTCCGCACTGTGTCACTCACTGGAGTTCGAGTATTACCAATTTATTTATTTAGGATGATGAGCAATTTGGTCCCCAACTTTCTCACTTAGCTCATCAAAAGGACCAATTTTGACCATCAATTCAGTTGCCTTACACTAAATGATTAAGATGAAAATAACCGCTTGCTGCTTCTTGACTTGTTTATGCGAGGTCTGTGTGCATCCAAACATGTAGGGACTGGATTTGGTATTCATAGAGAATAATGAATTGCATTCTTTGTTGAAAGAGAACATTGATTGTGTGTGTGATATGTAAGGGAATGGTATATTTTGTCTTCTCATGGCATTCTGAGTCATCTAAATCCCAAGTCAGTGCTACTTGTACGCCACATCAGTAAAAGGACCATTTGATCCAAATGTATAAGTTGATGGACGAAATTGACTATTTTAAAAGCTCACAGACTAAAGTAAGATTTGAATGTAAGTTGTGGGACCAAATTGTTCGTCGTTTTCCTATGTTGTGCATCAAGAATGGGTAGAATTTTGGAAGTCCAGGCACAGGGCTCAGCTATTTTTTTTAGATAATGGGAATTTATAAAACCCGGCTTCTACACCAACAGGGGTGTATACAGCCACAGAAATTCCGAGTGAACAAGCTCAGTTCTTACACAAGTTTACAAACAAAAGGAGCACAGAGGCTCAAGCACCTTACATAAAACTAAAAGAGCACAAAGACTCCAAAGCCTTTCAAAGCGAAAAAGACCTTCCAAACAAACCAACGACCACATTACCCCCTTAACCGCTTTCTCATGTTCCATCGATCTTTACCAAAGAAGTGCACGACAGTTTTCTCCAACAGTTTGCATCCTTCCTTCATCACATCACAAATGGCTATGCAACTTGTATTTATGTAATCATAGTAATCATAGTTTTGTATTATGTAACTACAAATGGTTTACTAGATAAACCAAATTATACAAAAAATACAGTTACAGGCATATACTAGTAATGGATTTGTTGGCCTAGAGAGTGCCGCATGCCTGCATGTGGATATATGGATTATATTGACCTGGCATTACCGAATATCTAATTTGGTTTATACGATTCTTGGTAAATCCATTTTGCTGATATGGCTATCTGGTCACTATAAACTGTACTCCCTCCAATTCTATATTAACTGACATTTTGGACAGCATTGCAAATACCAATGACTTATTAATTAGTCACCATATTTCCTGTTATACCCTTATTAAATACCCATATAGCCTTTTCCGCTGGATGGAGACGAAGCAACAGCATTTACTGTTTGCATGCATGCATGAGGGGTATTCTGGAGAAATAAAAGGGAGAGAGTTGTGGAGAAAGCTAAAACGTCAGTTTTTGCCATCCAAACAGCATTAACCCATAACGCCAGTTAGGCCGTGTTCGAATGTCCAACAAAACTTGGATGAAGTTTTGGATTAAAGTGGCACGCTTTTCAAACTGCTAAACGGTGTGTTTCGTACGAAAACTTTCTATATGAAATTTGTTCTAAAATAAGTTTGAAATAATTAAAACTCAATTAATCACACGTTAATACCATCTCGTTTTGCGTAAAAAACTTAATCTTCATCTTCATCTTCATCTTAAGGAGATTCAAACACCACCTTAATATAGAACTGGAGGGAGTAATCAAATTATGCTTGGTGCATTCTGCAATCTAACCATTTGAAAATTGATAGGTACTTAGTTTTTTTTTCATGATGTAATCTGGTTTCTACCAATTTTGTTTTCTATACTATTGCATTGTTATCAATTCTCAGACTTCATAGTATACTCTGAAAATTTTATTTGTATTAAGTATTTTATGGCAGTGTATGGAGCTTTATGTGTATATTATTTCTTATCTTTATATAGGTGAATCTCCATCATCGTCTGCCTCAGATATCGATAATTTAAATAGCCATGGATTGTCAAAGGCCCTTTCAACCAAGGGTGGAAACTCACCCCAAGTGGCTGGCAACCATTTGCCACTGGCCGTTCGTAACCAAGCACACTTATTGAGGTTACTTGCCTATGTAAGTACCTTATTGCACATGTCCCAATTAATTGTTACTTTCAATCAAGCTATTTACCTTTAGCCTGGTACAATCTTTTTATTACTAGGTTCCTTCATCTGTCCCTTCATGAAAACATGTTTATAGATATGGATATGCAAGCTGTTCCATTGTGAACTGTTTCTAGTCTATGGTTTATGTCTCTGTGCTGTGGAGGCTTGTTTCGTACAGGCAGAACCAATTGCAATTTAATACATAATCTCTTTTGGGGATTTGAACAATGTATATTAACGACTATACCCTTCAAATTGGAAATGAATTAGTAGGAGTTTGATGCAGTAACATTTTCTTTAGCTCAATTAGTACAGGCAGTAGTGGTTATTTGTGCTATGGTGCTACTGCTATCCTGTGCTTTGGAATCTATTTAGTGAGGGAAATCTTTAGTGATTCCAGTAAGGCTTTGCTGTTAAAGCTAAAAAAATCAACTAATATTTTAATAAAAAAATATAGATAATGAGTGCTTTTGAAAAGTCACTGCATTGCCAAACAGGGCCTAAAATCAGGCAGTTCTCAATAGCTAAATTGAAATTACATTATCAATGGTCAAAATGGCATTTAACTCATTAACATTTTGGGTAAGGTGTAAGTGGCTACCCGCGAATCCACTTATAGATCAAAATAAGCCGCGAACTCGCTTATTTTGACCTATAAGCGGGTTCACGGGTTAGCCACTTACATCCGTAATTTTGGTTAGTAGCGAAACCATGAATACCATAAATATTGCAATTTAATACAGTAATATGAACAGCATCCGCTTTGATGACAGGAGTTGTTTACACTTTGACCATAGAAAATGTAAATGATAGTTTGGTCAAATGTCTACCAAAATTACTTTTGGTTTGGTGATAATTGGGTCAGATGTACATAAAGTGAATATGCAACTTAAAAAACAATCGAGAGTGGTACTGGTACCTAAACATTGTTGTCCCTGTTTTGGACACCATCCTGTGCTTGGCAAATATGCTTCCACATTGGTCCACAGGAAGCAGATAGCATGGAACCAATTTTTAATTGAATTGAATATTTATTTATCATCATCAATAACTGACTGTGATTGTAGTAATTAATGAGTTAGCATAATGAAACTTCAGTGCTTTGCCATCGAATAATGATATTCGGAATCTAACTTATGTTTGTTTTTTCTGATCTTTAGACAAATGATGTCAATTGTGCATTCGATGCAACTCGGAAATCACAGGTTGCTATTGCTTCTGCTGCTAGCAGTCAGGAAAGGGGAAAAACTGTGGACGATGGTCTTGCTTCAGTAAGAACAGTTTTAGATTTTAACTTCAACAATGTCAATGAGCTACTGAGACTTGTCCGGCTTTCTATGGAGTTAATCAACACCTGATATGTTCAGAATTGCATGAAATGGCACCCCATGAATAGCTATTGTTGGAATGCCTGGCTGCAGTTACCTCAGCATATTTACACGGTGCAAAAGAGATGGGTCTACTAAGTCTGCGTGAGCTCCATAGGAACTGGGACCGGCTTGCCTGGTTTATGTACATTTAGAGGCATCCAGCGCTTTTTCATACAAATAGGATCACCACTTCGGATTAATCTTATACGTTTTGGAGGCATTCAGTGTTTTTTTTTTTTTTTGGGTACAGTTTGGAGCATCTTCGATTAACCTGTTCCTTTTGGAAGCATATTGTACAGTTTAGAGCATCTTCTTGGCAGTTGGTACGCAATTACTGTGTGAACGGATCCAGCTGAGGTAGAACCGGATTTTCATGCGTGATGGTTTGAACTCTGGCAACCATTCTGCTGTAGGTAGGCAAATGTGTTTTATCGGGAACATATGGGCTCCATATCAAGCATTCCCCTGCCATGGTTCTATAGATTAGGTGAATCTTTGACTGACGCTTACTTATACTAACTTCGAAGCAGCATAATACCTTTTATTGGTGTTACTGTGGGGCACTGATGATGTGCCAGCACTCAAGAACAATTTTGTAATTGGTAATTGGTAAGTTCCACCTGAGTATAAAATTCTGAAGGCTAAATGGTTAGTCCTTCTCGTCTTTCCATGACATTTGGTACAGTCTTGAGCAGGGGGGATGAGAGAAATGAGCTGTGCTAACCAAGATAAGTATTCTCCGTCTCCTCAAGCAGGTATTGGTATTTTTGAATTAGCAATTACAATATTATCATCATCAGTTCATGTCTCCTGCTTTAAGCAAAGCATATATTTTTCATTTCATTCCGACCTTATAATTGCCCACAAAACTATCGTAGACTGACCCGTTATTTGAAAGCTAACTATTTTCCCTGTTTGGAGATGCTGCCTGAATTTCCACTTATTTGTGAGCAACATATGCCTGCAGATAAAATAATATAAAAAGGTATCTATGCTCATTAATTGGTGCTGAATTGCACTTATGTAGACCTACCTCTTGGAAGCCTCCCCCTAGTACAGTTTTCTTAGTACAGGTTAAGATTGAACTTGGCTCATAACAGAAATCCTCTAACAAGCTTTAGCCAACCTTATACTTGATTGATTTGTCCTGCTTCGCATTTGCCACGAAGTGTGAAACCCTATTGAGCATACTGGAAAATGGTGATACTCCACCTATTAATTACTCCCTCCCCCAAAATATAAGATTCTAGAATTGAGTCTTGTCCAGAATCATAGTATTAGGATGTCTTATCTGGACACAGATTCTTATATTTTGAGACAGAGGGAGTAGTCATGAATTGCCCCTTACATGCGCATAGCTTCTGAAATTCACTGTGTTGAATAAATGCATTAAAATGGTGAAGTTTTTGTACTTATACGAAATCTCCTGCTGATTATGGATTGTTTGTTTCCAGGTCTTACGAAATGGAACGGTTTGGAAGCATGGTGGGCAATGAATTCTATAACCCTGTAAATCTCATGTACAGTAGAGATTAACCTGTTTGTTCATTACAGTAAACAGAACCAGCACCTGCGCATTGTCATTTACCCGAAACCAAAGAGATTTTTTCCACGTGTTTCTCTGCAAAACAAAGCCATAAACCTGTAGATATTATTTGCTTGCAATTTTTGTCAGCTCCTAAACATAGTTTATGGATTATGATATGTAAGGATTAGGCTGAGTACGCTTTGCCGCGTAAATATTTTACGCACTAATTATGTGCCCGATCAAATGAGTATAATCATTATCCGAAACATTCGTTTTGTTGCCCTTGTTTAACACACTAATTGGTGACTTCGGCACCCTAAAAAAACCGTCCATTTTTCGCTGGATGATTCATCTGTCATTTTTCAAATCAAGCGCCTTAATTTTCATCCACCTGATTAGTGAATAAATATTCCGTTGCATCCTAGGGATAAACAAGAAGTATAGTTCGGCTTCAGTTGGTAAACGTCCCATTCCAGTTGTAGTAGCTATGCTGTTTTGTTTGTGGCACAGAATCTTCCGTTTTACTCCGTAATGATTCTTTGCAATTGCATAGAAACAACAAATTAAAGACAGGAAAGCGTGAAGAGACCCCTCTTGGACCTAGCTCGTGATCCTTTTTCCGATCTACCCTAACCCAGAGATAAAATAGTCGCTAGTGTACAAAGCATAGCATTACCAAGATTTTCGTTATGGCAGCTCCAGACTCCATGGCAGGTAAAAAAACAGCTTTGACAGTGCATGCTCAGTAGAAGCTCAGAAGACGTTGCAAGGACCAGTGTTGCAAGCAAGTTCCATTGGAATTTGGACCAAGTAACAAACCCACCAATGCGACAGCTCAACATGTAAAGTAATGACGGCTTCAGATCAGCTTATCAATAAACACGGCGTTGTCCTAACACAGGCAGAGGGAATTAAGAAAGCTAGACCATAGCAATTACTCACCCAAGAAAATTAGTCCACTACAATTCAAATAAACCTAACTGATAATTTAATCACCTAAAGTCGTTACAGTGCTTTCCACCAAGGGTGTTCCTCGGGGCCAGGATTACAGGAGAATCGATGGAGTTCCTGAGTACACATCAGAGTACTTTTGGGCATGTCCAGTTAGTGAAGCATGATGAAAAATTTGTCGCGTATAATACAGGTAAACTCCAACTCACTGGAAGGGTCAAAATCAAAGGTGAGACCCTTCACTGGTAGGTCTGCACAAACCGGAGAAAGCAGCTTTCCGGATAAGAGGGTGAATATTCCCAACGAAAATCTCCTGATCCAACATGGCAATATGGGACCAGATCTGCAAAATATGTGTAATATCCAATTAGTAGAAGCTATGGAGGCCATGGAAAAGAAAACTACTTAAAACGTACTGCAGAAAAATCAGTCATTTACTAAGACCTTGAGTTCTTTTGTAATAATAAAACAATTTTAACATGCAGCCTGTGATATTTGGCTCTAGTACACCGTAGCCTGGATATTTCAAATGCTAACACATTAGGCTTCTCAACTTTCTCCTGACTGTAAGCTGTTTGGAACTTCTAGGCCATTTGTTTCTTTTCTTTCATGTTTGCCCTTGAAAAAAATAAATACTACTACACCTCTCACAAATAAATGACTATTCTTTTTTCCAGAACAGTGTAAATTAAGGGTAACAGAATCATTTGAGCTTTTTTCTTAACTACGGTGCACAAGTATAAAATGATTTACATTTGGAATCAAAGAGAGTATACAGAAATTGTCAGACAGATAGTTTAACTACACTGGAGAAATCCAGTTTGGCCTAATCATTTATAAAAAGGAATTTGATCTAACAGGTATCCATATTACAGCATGATAACTCTAACTCCCCACAGGTCCTCACCTCAGTAGCATATTGACGAGAAAACGACTTGAGATAGCCCAATGTGCAGAGACACCATTGCTCAAGCTCTCCAACATTGTGACTGATTTTCTTGTTTTGACCATTCAGCTGACTGCTAAAGCATGAAGACAAGTTAGCAGCCGAATAATGACAGCCAAGCCCCTAATGCAGGCACGAACATATTTATACTGAACAGTAAATATGGGTTCCTGGCACTTCAAGACATAGGTGAATACTGCAATTAAATCATGGTCAGCTGATATTAATCCATCCAAGAACCTGTTTGTCTTGACTGGTATCTAGCAATCTCTACTGAATTTTTTTTCTACATTTTAAGAGTAAATTACTCTTATAGATATATGCAGGACTAATACAAAATCCTAGTCTACTAGAGTTCATGCAAGCTTTCCACAAAAAGCTCGTTTCAGAATGAACCGCCCATGAAAAATAGTTGTCCATCCTGTAAAAGTAGTTATCCTAGTAATAGCATTGCAAACAAAATAATAAACTGACCTATCGTTATCTCCTCCATTTTCATTGTCTATTTCCATGGTTGTTGCTTCAGGGTCACGGGCTGAAGAATTTACATTCGGGTCTCCAGCACGTAAATTAGGAACATCTCCATCAGCAGAAATAGGTGGCAAACGTTCAGTTAGCACTTCAACAAAGCTCTTGAATAGTAACCTAAGCAATTCCTGCAAAACCACATGAAGAAAGGATGCTCAACTCTATTATTATGGGGCAAAGTACCAAGCAACAGTACAAAATTAAGGTGATAATAAAAGCAACGGAGCACCTTGCTTTCTTCAAGCCCTCGAGCAAGGAGGGCCTCCTTTGCTTCTAAAGATTCTTCAGTGGTTACTTCTCCTTCTTTCGCTTTGTCAGCACGCGCTTGAAGTCGTCTTAGCCTTCCTGGATTTTCAGATGGCACAGGTTGGCCATCTACAATCTCAATAATAGATTTAGCCTCCTCCAACTCTCTGGCGGCCTTTTCACTGGCCTCTTTAGCAGCTTGAAGACCTTTCCTGAGTGTCTGAATTTCTTTCCGGAGGTCAAAAATCCGATTGTATGTTTTACTAACAGCATTTCTAAGAATCTGCATAAGGGAATGTAGATCAGAAAGATTTAATTAAAATATTGAGCTATATTATAATACAGAAAATTAATGAAGGATTGTCTTGGCAGTTCTAGATGGCTTGAGTATTTCACCATTCAATAAAAGTAACTAAACATGCATGCACAAAGCACTGAAAGCAGAAAGCTCCTACAGTGCGCCATCACTCACAAGCAGTATAGGTTTGTTTTAAATGCAGAATAGGTTTGGTTATTCGATGAGGATAAAGGATGTACCTCCCATGGACGATCTGAAACATGAAATTGATCAACATTAGCAGGAGAAAAAACCCATTTGACTATAGCCAGATTGGAAAGTAGGCGATAACCCATCATCCTATCAATAGCTATGGCAATCATCTGGGTACTGTTCTTCCAATAAGCACTGACTTCATCCATCAACAATAACTGCATTTCTTCATTCGGGCACAGCTTTGATATTATTTGACCATATCTCTCCAAAACAGTGATAAGATGGGTGAAACTTTTTGAGCCAATGTCCAGAAGTGTCTGGCTAACTACATCAAGTGCAAATTTGGCACCATTTACAGGAATTATTTTTTCGTCTACCCATGAAATAATATCACCTTGTGTCTTCCTTCCTCTAACCATGGCAACAAGTTCCTTGGAGAGTCTGTGGCCATCAGTGCTTTCTTTGCCTTCATCACTATGATATCTGAAGTTAGGCCCAGCTTTTGGGGGTAACAGTTCTTCCAATTCAACAGCATCCTCTATGCTCTGGGAAAGAAATAAGAGACAAGATCCAATTCAAATGACTGTTGGTCCATCAGTAGAAACAGTGAGAAGGAATATGCTTCCTTGCATATCACTAACCTGCTTAATTTTGTCAAAGTAGGACAAGCGAATTTCCCTTTCTAATACTTCTTGGACAAAAACACGCTGTGGAGCCCATTTTGGAAGGTCCTTGACGTAAGCCCACTCCTGCCAAGGCCAAATGAACTGAAAATTTGACCTGCCAAAGCAGAACAATATCGATCACAATTTGGCAGCAATAAGACTTGAAGTTTGTCTTGAGGGTGATATGAGAAAGAAGGCGACGATTTTTTTAAAGGTTTTGGAATATCTCATGTAATGGTCCACAAGAAATTCCCAAGAAAAAGACGTATAGATAGTAAACAACAGAAAAAATATGTATAGCAGGTCAGACAGTAAACAGTAGAACAATCAACTTACAAGTGATGTGAAAACCATAGGATAAGTCGGGTGCGGCACTCCATATCCATGTTGCTAATTCTGTCAAAAAGAGCATGTACTGCTCCTACCACAACTGAAGGAAATGCACCTGGCAATGCCTGGAATTTAGACAATTAACTCAGTGTATCATCCCAAAGAATACTAAAAGTGCCAGAAGCTGAATTATTCTTTGGGCGTTGTACTTATGCATTAAAAGCATAATTGAATACCCAAAGAATGCTTTTAATTGAATACCCAGAAGTTAAAAAAAAAACGGCAGCATGCGTTCCCCGTATCCAGAAGTTCATGAAAGATCAATATAGGTCGAATTAGCTTTGCAACAGTACAGAGAACTGATTGTTTTTTTCTGATAACCTCAGCTCACCAAAACAATCTTACATTAGGCCAATATGCTACATTTTTGTATCAACAGCTGTTCTTGAATATAGTTCAGAGATGTACAACACAATGCTACTAACATTTTTTCACAGAAGCTGGTTGTTTACCAAAATGAAACAATAGGTGGTGTTTGATTCATTGCCAAACTGTCAACTCAAGTTAGGGAAGTTTGACTTTTTGAGGCAAGCGTTTGGTTGCAAGCCAAAGTTATGGTGTGCCACACTTCACTATTCTTATGCCCCACAAGTCAGACTCACTTGCAAGCCAAAATTTGCCACAAGTGTAGCTAGCTTTTTTGGCACCACAAAAACTGTGGCAAGCCACACTTGTGGCATAGAAGTTTGGCAAGTTGAGTAAACCATCAAAACAGCCATGATCTAGACAACATATTGCTAAGGGGGGCATATTAGTCTCAACAATATATTGGTATCACACAGTAACGCAGTCACAACAAACAGTGTTAGCTCACAAGATCAAAAGCATGAAAATAGTACCTTGCAAAGGTCGATAATAACCAAGGTATAGTAAATTGGCCTGAAAGGGGGATTCGGCAATAACAGTAGCTGCAAAATATCAATATAATACATGATTAAACACACAAAAACATATGCTTTTCTTGACTAGTTAATGTGCAACATGCATAAATACCGTTAGCAGGTAGTATCCTAGCTATGCGCATATACTGATTTGAGCCAGTTTGCA